GATTGTACTTATTCTACCTCACTAGGGTACGACGAGAAGCTAAAATCAAAATATTAGTTTTCAATCGGAAAATATAGTCCAATTTTTCAAACCTTTCTTCATAATCTTGTATTGTGCTTTCAATTTTTTTCCCGCTGAATTGCACTTCTTCAAACTTTCTGGATAATTCTCATCAAGATGGCAGTGTTACAAATCTGGGGGCTGGGCCGCGGAGCGGTCAGGGTGGGGCCCCTAGTTTTCCTTAAAAATGCCTGATTTAGGTAGCAAAATGAAATTGCATTAGGTACACCGAAGATTTATCTTCTCTCTTTTTTTTTTTTTTTTTTATTTTTTTTTTATTCAGGAGGAAAACATCTCTCAGGATTTCATACGAGAGAATGTTATTCGCGTCCTGCTGAATTTTCCGTATCAATTACGTATAATTCTCCCATTGAAATTCGATGGCGGTCATCTCTATTCATTGAGCAGATTGACTCGAGGGCATCAATGAAACATTCGAACGGAGCCGATGAGCGTGGGCCACTTGTAATGATCTGTTGGTCGATTCATACTACACCGCCCGACTCTTTAAATAATTGCGCCACGCCGTGCCGCCGGTTCGCTCCGACAAACCCGCACCGTCTCACCTTGGTCTAGACGGTCTAGCGCCCCACACTTGGCAACGCCGAGGTGCGTGGCCGCGCATTGCGTCATGTTGCGTCGCGCCGCGGCGATTGTGGAAGGGAAGAAGGGGGAAAATATGTCAGTTTTGGCGGGAAAAAGTGGCGGGAACCAGCCGCGTCACCTTGACAACCAGACAGATCGATCTCCTCATTCTTCTATGTCTGGGTCTCCGCCGCGCCGCACCGCGCCGCGACGCGCTGCAATCGGCCAAGGACACAGGACTCGTTTTCCTTCCTCAGAACTCGGTGCTTCTTTCACTCCTCTATACTCCCATCCTGCTCCCGACCCGCGTCACGAACGCTTTTCGGCCTCGGGTTTGTGCGGGTCTTCTGACCGTTCGCCTCTCAGACATCCGCTCAATAAAGGATTGCGATATATTTGCGGCTGCACCCTTTCGAGCCCATTTTGCGCAACCCATCTTCCTCCAGACCTCGCTCTTTGTCTCGGGAAGCTTCAAAAGTATACTCACGTAGCATAAAGCTCTTTCGAAAATTTGGACCTTATTGTCTTGTAAATCTCGCGGTTATATACCGTTCATGCATGTGGGTCAATTGCTAGAATTAGCGTGCTTTATTCGTACAGGATCGAAACGTATGCGTTATGAAATAATGTCCCCCCAAAAAAGCGGAACTTCTTGAAATAATGAAGATCGAGATCTAGAGGAAATAATGACTTACGGGCATCCTGCAACTCAAAGGTAATGCAGGAATCACGCAAGTCGAAAGATCTGAGAAAATTTGAGTGCATGCCGTCAGAAAAATTTTTATCATGCGGCAAAACTTCAGCACTCTAATCTGCAATATGACAAGACGCATTCGTACTTATGCTAAGAGAATAGTCTACCAAAACAAGTATACATTTTAATTTCAGCGGACCAAGGCCCACCGAGTAGAATAAGCTGCATGATGTGTCCAAACACAATTTCGTGCACTCATCTACTTTGGTTAAGCTTAGTGCGTTATTCAAATGCCGCGTCGTCTTTCGAAAAGCTTCTCAGTTTGTTACGTAGCGCAATAAAAATTATGAATATGTACGGCAGAGGTGTCCAAATTGTTGACCGAAATAGACGTCACGCTCGGACGCTCGAGGAAAACACCATTGCACTCGTATCCTATCGCGAAAGCGTGTGAGCAATACTCAGATTTCGCCTGCAAAATCGAGCGTATGCAACCCGGCCCTCCGCAGAGTTAAAATAGTTGCATGTTAGGTTTGAACCCAACCTATGTATATTTTTCAATGGTTTTACACTTCACGTTTTCTTCAAGTACCGAGTTGATCTTTTGGAAAGGAATCTCAGTTGGTTTACACCGTGTTTGTTTATATTTTTTTCCTCTGCTAACTGAGGAGCAGAGAGAAAGTTATGCGGCCAAATGATTTCAATGCCGAAAATGGTCATAGAGAATGACGAAATGAATAATTTTGAATAGAAAATCTAGTCACTAAGTTTAATTTTTTGAAAGGGAGAAAGACTGGGATAGTATACTTCCGCTTCACTTGGATATGATAGGAGCCTAAAATATTAGATCCTTATCGGTAAATGTAGTCAATGATGTAGTGCAATATTGTTTAATCCTTCTCTCATAATCATGCCATTGTGTTTTTAATATCTATGATGGATTGCATTGCTTCTAAATTTCTCGATAATTCTAATTAAGCGGGCTTGACACAAATTACCGAGTGTTGGGCCGGTAGTAAAAAAAAGAGACTAATTTGAGGTAGCTCTTCTCATTTTACAACTATGACCTGCGACAACATCCTTATTTATCGCGGCAAAAAAGCACTCACAAAGATCGATCTAAGAGAATGCGACTATATTCCAACACCTTGAAGATGTTTTTGCCTATTTGCGGGGGTTGAAGGCGAAATGAAAACGAAAGGCTCCGTGCCATGGAATGTTGTCTCTGCGTTGGAGTAGGGCGTGGTTTCACTTTCAAGCGAGCAACAGCGCGGTCTCGGGGTCTCGCTTTCAAGGGGGCGGCAGAGGGTGGTTTCACTTTCAGACGAGCATCAGAGCGTGATTCGCCTTCTACACAGCAGGTTAGGCAAAAAATCGTCCTGTACGCGCCGAAATAGGCGCGTACTCAGGGGTCGGTCTGTGTGCCGGCCAATTTAAAGGATGCCTAGGGGTTTGTTAAATTAATTTCGGAACACCAGGAATTTAGATGAGTCGAGAAATATTTCTACCGACCGGATCTCTCTCATTGTGGGGACGTCGCGTCGGGGTTCCCTTTGAATATCAAACTCATAAATTCATGGAAGAGGCGTCCGCACCAGACCAGAGCTCATGCTTATCGATTGGAACTTTCACTTTTGTTTTACAATTCCAGTGTCCCCTCTTTTTTAATCCTTTATTTTACCCGCCCCACATCCACAATATTTCCTGCCTTGAATACGTACAAATTGTATTTGCTACTGATCGTGAGCGAATGCAGAAATATCTTGGTAAGATTATTGGATTATTAAAGTATACGGGTATAATGTAATACCAGGCCAGGGTGGCAAAAAATTTGCTGGAAAATAAAATCTTAAAATTTCACGTGAAGTATCTCATGAAATTTTAGAAATTTATGAGAGACATTGAAAAATACAGATTCCTTTTCATGTTTCGCAAAATGTAAAAATTGTGACTATTTTCTATTTCTGTGTTTGAGTGCAGGTTGCATAGCCCCTGGAAAATATGAAATATTTTACGGCCTCGTGAAATTTCATGAAATATTTCACTGAAATTTCCAATATTTCATTTCTTTCTTACGTTTCATTCATGCCTTTCTGTTTATGACCATCATTTATATTTGGACAGTATTGCAAAAATTTAAAGACTTTTAGGAACAAAATAATGTGAACTTGATCTACTCACAATCTCTACCCTGATAAAAATTGGCGATAAGAGCTGCGTTTCAAAATACCATTGGAGTTCTTACAGCCGACTAAAGAAGGCTATTAAAAATCATATGGCTGGCTGTAGAAAGCGGAGCAAATCATATAGCCGAGCTATACGAAGCTATAAAAAAGTGTACAGTCGGGCTATAGTCCCTATCACCGGGCTTTACACTTTATCGTCATTGGCTATAAAAGGCTATAAGACATTGTGTAGAAATTCGTGTGCTTTGGAAATCATTAAGTTTTATAAGGAGCTACTTTAATATTTACAAAACACACATTACATTTTCCTTTAAAACATATTTTTTTTTTTTCATCAATTAAAATGAGAATAGTCCATACAGAGTGTGCAAACATTTCAAAATCATGAGTTGAAAAACGCCGACTCCGCGAGATTAAATATTAGATCCTAACACAGAGCGGAGCGGCGACGCACTGGCGCCTACAAACCTAACAGGGATACTTCACGCATTGCGCAATGCGTGAAGTATCCCTGTTAGGTTTGTAGGCGCCAATGCGCGTTTCGCGCTCTCTGCCCGCCCGCCGCGCCGCAGCGTGCCACGGCGTCTGAAGCAACTATTTCACACCAGAGGTATTGCGCAGTATCAAAGAAATTGAAGGCGCTCCAACATATTAAGAATGACACGCATCCTTCAAAAGTACGGAGCTTTCCTCGCAAAATAAATCAAGAGACTATGGCACAAAAAGAGAGCGGTAGTCCAAAAACTAACTAAGTCCTAGTATCCGTATTTACTAACGTTTAGCATAAACTTCATCGTCTGGCTGTTGCTTAATCGCCATCGGCTATAAAAGGCTGTAAAAAATTATACAGCCGGCTGCAGAAGCTATTGGAAATCTTGCAGCCGACTTTAGGTCTATGGTATTTTGGAACATAGATTCTACTGCCAATTTTTACCAGGGTACTGATCGTCTGCGAATGTAGAAATATCTTAGTAAGATTATTGGATTATTAAAGTATGCGGGTATAATGTATGATCATCATTTTTATTTGGACAGTATCACAAAAATTGAAAGACTTTTAGGAACTAAATAATGTGAACTTGGTCTACTCACAAAAAAAAAAAAAACATGATAGTAGCTTTTGGATTCCTGGTCAATACGATCGCGAGTAAGCACGATAGCTAGTACAAGTTTTCGGGTATTTAAGCTAACTCAATTTTAGCCAACCCTACAACACGTCTTGCAATGACTATTAGAAATGTTAGTGAGCATATACAGCCAGGAATCCAGTGACCACAGCACGATTATTTTTTGTCCAAGTTTGAACTAGAGTGAAACGAAGTACAAAAAATTTAAACTTCTAACATGGTAAATTTTAAAAAGGGGGGAAAATTAAAATTGTTACAAAGCCGAATGCTATCTAGATTTACTCAATATTTTGAGAAAAAATAGTTTATTGGAGGAGCGCTGGTTTTTTTTTTTTTGGGGGNCTCCAATCATCGAAAATTTCAGGATTGTATTTTTAAGATAATTTCATCAACTTTCGGTTCTTTCAGATGAATATCTGCAACGGAGTGGTGAAAACCATCTTCAATCTTTCTACTGCGAGGCTAAAGCTTCCGAAAAGAGATAATCATCTTGAATTTAAATTTTATAATAAAAAAAATGAATGAATGAGAGAATGAATGAATAAATAAAATGAGAGAGAGAGTCGAGAAAGGGGAAAAAATGACCATTACAAGTAACAGCATTGGCGATTTGATCATACTTGAAACGTCTTTGCATCGATTTATCGGTGATCTGCCGAGGAGTTGCGCAATTCCGTCTGGTGCACCGAAAAAAAGAGGTGAAGATTTATAGCGGGGTTTTACATCGAAAGTTAGAGGAACTGACGTTGTTAATATGGATTCGTGAGTAAGGATTGACAATATGTGCCGTATATTTATTTATCTGGTCTCTGCACGATGTCAAATTTAACCAATTTCAACGGTGCCAATCTTTACCTTCATAAATTCGTTGCTATATATCAATAAGACTCATGATTTATGCTTCTTTACGAGTAAAACCCGTTCCTCCCAAATTTTTGTGGTGGATGGTGGGTGCTCGCTATTAAAAGAGAAATTATCCTAACAGTGATTTGAGTCCTCACTAGAGGAACTTGATACACAACTTTTCATGCATACCTCTTCTTTACATTTCACATCTCTCTGATACTTACTCGTTTTTCTCTCGCATTTACTACTCACCCTCTCCAACTTTTTGCACGCCTTCGCTATCTCGCACTCACACTTCTTCCTCTGCTTTTCCCCTCTTTTCCTAGCCTTCTCTAATTCCTTGCGTCTCTTTTTGCATGCTTTCTCCCTAGCCTTCCTTGCCTTCCTTTCGGCTTTCTCCCTGCATTTCCTTTCTTTCTCGCACTGCTTCTCGCGCTTACGCCTCTCTTTATCCTCATTCCTGTCGCAGCGATCTCTTGGTGTCCTCCTCCTCTTGCAGAAGATCTTCTTCAGGAGGCTTCTCTTCGGCCTCCTCGATCTGGGCCGTATGGTCACGTCGCATGTTGGGTCCCCGCATTCGCAAATACACGATGCTTCCGACTCTACGGACTTAAGGTCGTCGGACTTCATGCTGCAACTGGTACGAGCGATCTCTGCGCAAGGGTCGTTTCGAGTCGGCATAAAGGATTCCTTACAGGCAAGGCTACATCCAGGCTCACTGATGGAATATTTGTCAGCGCTCCTTTTGGGAGAGACACTGGCTGCACGCTTTGAGCAGACATCCCTCTTCTTGTCGCTCTGTCTCTCGCTCCCCTGAGTGCCCGAACTGTTTCTGGAGCATCTCCGCTCATCAGGACGCTTCTTCGTGGAGCACCTGATCATCGTCTGAGAGGCTTTGTCTGCGACGGCTTTTTTAATATCCTTTCCGCAAACTGGCTTTGCGGAACAAACCTGAGGCTTTGAGCAAGGGTCAGGCTTAGATTTCTTGACCTCGTGGTCGCTTGGCTTGGTGGGGCAATCTCGCTTGCAAGAATTTCTCCTAGCTTGTTTGCATAGGTTTGTTTGGGAGCCTTTTTCGCATTCGGGGAAATTCTTGGCCGACTCGCTGACTTTCTTCGACGCCGCGTAGCAGACGTTCCCTTGCGAATCCGAGTGGCAGACGTTGATGCGACAACTCTTCGATACTTCGTGGTTTTTCTGCGTGTTGCAGGGATCCTTCGCGTTGGAACTGGTCTTTTTGTTGCACTTCGTGCAGGAGCGACTGTGCTTCGCGCAGCAGGAATTGGTGCGCTTCGCGTCGCAGGATCCGGAGCTCTTGGTGGTAGAGGTGCTGCTCTTCGCTTTGCAGACATTGTTACTTTTAGCTTTGCAAACTTCGTTGCTCTTAGCTTTGCAAGCACTACCCCAAGTTTTGCAGACCTCCTTGCTCTTGGCTTTGCAGACATCGCTGCTCTTGGTATTCGGGGAATCGCTACGTTTCATTTTGCAGGGATCGGTGCTCTTATCATTGGAAGGAACGCCGCACTTCAGATTGCAAAGGTTGTTCTTCGCATCGGAAGTTTCGTTACCCTTGACAGCGCCGCCGACATCGCTACCTTTGTTGGTATTTGCTTCGGAGCAGTAACTTTCTTTAGGCTCGAAGTTATTGCCGTTCTTGCAGATGCTGGACTTGGAGCAGGAACTACCCCGGGAGCAAATACTTTGCGCCGCGCAGTCGTTTTTATTCGGAGAGCGCCCACGATGACCACTTACCTCTTTCTTGATACAGGGATCCTTCTTGGGGGACGATTCTTTTTTCTGAGGGCACGGATCTTTTGCAGAGATGGAGTCGCTACTCGAAACAGGTTCTTTCTTGATGTTCACTTCTTTTTGAAGGCATTGCTCTTTAGAGGGCGAAGGCGATTTCGCGTCTTTCGGATCATCGGCACCTGCGTTGCCTCTCATGTTCAGGGAGCAATCTCTTGCGCTGCTATCGGTCCAACTGATGATGGATTTTGGCACCTTGGGTTTCTCGACGATGACACAAGTGAACTTGTTGGACCCTTCTTTCTTCAAGCAACGGTACTCTTGGGTTGAATTGTTTACAGGGTGATTCGCATCTACACTTCCCCAGGTCGCTTTGCGTTTACGATCTCTAGCACACTCATCTTTCCCACTCGTTCGAGAATCACGATGGCCTGATCTTAGTCTGTGTCTCTGGGTCCCACCTACCTGTGAAAGGAAAAAAAATAGAGATATTACTTCTGACGTTTCCAAACTATTTTGAATAGCTTTATTAAAACATTAAGAGACATCATAGTTTATGGGGGAAAAAACTGAAGCTATCTGCAGATTCTAGTTCCGATTTTACTGACTCACTTGAGATGGAGCAGGCTATAAATATTGGTTCCTGTGATATTTTACTCTATATGTATAGAAGAAACATGACACATTCTGATAATTTATCCGGACTGATAATGTACTAGCTGTGTGGCACAGAAACGCACGTTTACTGTTTACGTTTAACCGATACATTTATGATTAGGAGATCAGGGCCGGATTTTCCTACTTGCCGCCCATGGGCCGCCTGTATTTTGCCACCCCCTTCTCATTCGTTTTGAAACATCAATAAAAACCATCAAGTGAACGTGCCAGCGGGGGAGGGGTGCATAAGATGCGTTCACTCGTGTTGACTACATTTTTTTGGGAAAGCCCTGTCAACACTACTAGCAAAAGGTCACGGAACTTTGCGGGAAAGTCAAGTTTCGTAAACCTATCTCTAATGGACAAGGCCCTCCATTTATAAGAAATGAACGAAAAAATTATAAAAGAACAAACACAAAATTTGGTTTAATATTTTAACTTCCGCCGCCGCCGCGCCGACCGCACCGTGTTTGGCGCAATGCGTGAAGTATTCACGCAGTCTTGTAGGCGCTATAGTCTTGTAGGACAAGTCCCTAAGTCGCGCCGTTCCAGGCCAAATTGTGTGTTTGTTTTATCTCTCTTAACTCGACTAATCAAAGGTGCTGTCTCTTGTGTCACTAAAAGACGACAAAATTAGAAATTACTATACACTCAGGAAATGAGAGGTTTTTTAGCCTTTTCTCGTTTGTAATTGTTTTTTTTTTTTTTCGAAATCCGATTTTTTTATACTTGCATTTAAAAAAATTGCAAAATTTGCCGCCCCCTAGATTTACCGCCATGGGCCGCGGCCCATGTGGCCACCCCCTTAATCCGGCCCTGTAAGGAGATCGTAAAAATCCAGTTCACTTTTTCAATTTGTTTTACCTCTATTCACGGATTATTGACGTAAAAGTTTTGAATTTAGATTATGTACAGCTTTTTACGTGCAAATTACCAGTTTTACAGAGTCTTACTTTAACGATTTATTTTAAGAGTTGTGCAACTGGGGGTAAACATTCTAGTATTGCAGGCCTGTATTTAATTGAAATGTTGCCTTCGTAGATGACTCGATAAGGCAAAGTAAAATGGGATAGCGTCACTGGTTGGGTTAGACCACGGGACATATTTATTGTACCTCGATCGGGTCGGATTGACGACAAGGTATCGGCACCTCTTGCTGCGTTCGAAAACTAATCGAGATGAGTTCGACCTGATAGAGGCACAACAAAGAAATCATGTGGCCCGACTGCATCCAAAGGCGCTATCCCATTCTTGAAACATTTCGGGTGTCTTATCGTGTCTCATCAACGAAGAAAGTATTCCGTTGGGCGGCTTTTAGGTTCCCTTCATCATTGTACACCACTTAATTTTTAGCGGGTTTTCTTTCCTTCCTAACAGGTAATCCCTCCCTGTTCCTTTTCAATTATTCTGTAAAATCAGTGGAGATGTGACTGCCGAGTAGCAAAATGAGTAGTATCGTATCTCACTGCAACCTGAGTGTTTTTTTTATCGCCGAAAATCAGAACGTACAGGCGTCCCCTGAGAAGTCTATTTTCCGCTATTGTATGTGTACCAAATTGCCTATCTGAGTTAGTCAGGCTGCAACTTGTTACAGAAAATAAAGAGACAAGCGAGTGCATGGGTACTGCAATTGCTTCAATCAGTTCAGCTTTTGTATTCTTTTTTCAATTCCAATGACTCTTCCGAACTTGCCCGATGTGTTGGAGGGCTATTGGCACCTAAATATTCGGCAAAAAGTTTCTACAGGGACCATTTTTGGCAAAATTTAGGGCTCCATTAGGCACTCTTGAGAGATCTTGAGAAGCTCCCTAGAGCTCCCAATACTGGGGATTAACCATCCGCCAGGGATAAATTTCGGTCCGACGCGACGCACAGTGGATCGATCCAATGGACCACTAGACAAGGTCTGAATTTGAGCAATCTGATACATGTTTCTTAACCATAATTTCACGCAGAATACGATTCACACAATGAAAATTACTGAAACCAACTCCTAACGAAGATATTAACATTTGTATTTCACATTGGTGACGAGGAATTTGAACTGCCCGCTTACAAGAAACTCAAAGCTCTACGTGAGTTAAATCGCGCACTACAACGTTGTTAGCAAGCTTCTCAATCGAGCAATGTTCATTTCCCACCATGTGTTGTTCAAACTATAGGCAATTTGCTACAGCTGATCCAAAGCGTCAAGATTGAGGTTGCCAGAATTTTATAGCGCTGAGACTGCCATGATAACGTTTAGCGCGCGATATGAATCACGCAGAGCATTGAGTTTTCATGAGCGGGTGGTTTGAATTCACGCATCAAGAATCATTAAATATCTTCGTAAGTATTTAATTTCGGTAATTTTTGTTGTTCGCATCGTGTTCTACGTGAAATTTTAGTTACGAAACATGTATCAGAATGCTGAAATTCGTACCTTGTCTAGTGGTCCATTGGAGACTTCGGACAAAATTTGGAATCTTTAAACAATCATAACTCCGTTTATACAAAACTTTCAGGCTCTAAAAGTGGTTCCATTGGTTTTCTCGTAAAATTTTCCCCTGAACCCCCCCCCCTTGTAACTAAAATGTGAAGAAAGCATCAAAATTTGCAGTTTTAGTCAAAAGTTTCATGTCCGACCTCCCTAATTGACTCGATCCACTGTGTGACGCGGCGTGGAGACAGGCGGCAAGTATATAGACGGATTTCCTCGACGAGCTTTTCTTCAGTTACCTTTTGGAACGAGGTTCTTCTCGAGGATGGGGCAGAGTGTTTGGGGGATTGGCGCTGTGGCTGTGTCTGGTGGGGGTGTCTGAAGCCAGGTCCGAAGCTCGAGGGCCCACGGCAAACATACTCGCGGCTTCTGCAATGGCCTACGCTGTCCGAGTCCGAAGACGCTGACGAGCTGTGGGCGTCGCACTGGCAAACGCTGTCATCGGAGCTGCTGCTCAAATCGCACGAGTCCGAGCTGGAAGTGGTCTCATCCGAGCACGATCTTCTCATGGCGCCCCCACCCTCATGGCGTTATGTCTTCTGATGCCCCGATTCTCTCTCTCGACTGCAATGAAATTTTAAACACCAGGTTTTTAATCTAGTTTTATGTACTAATTTAGAGGCTAGACAAACAGGGTCACGGCCCTGGTCAGAAGGAAGAATAAGAAGAAGAAGAAGAAGAAGAAGAAGGGAAGAAGAAGGGAAGAAGAAGAAGAAGAAGAAGAAGAAGAAGAAGAAGAAGTTTTTAATCAAATCAAACTCAGTTAACCATACTGCCATGCTAAGGGGAAACGCAGTATGAGCCTTCAGAAGTTGCCAAATTTCCTTCGATAAAAACCGAACTTACAGAGAAAATTGTGAATATTTTTTTCCAACATTTTCAGACAGTTTTGTAGGCAATTTAATCTAAAATATCTGAAAATTTTGAAGAAAAATGTGCGTGAATGTCCTCCTTTATTAAGGGAAATTTGGCAACTATCGAATGTTCATACGGCCTTCTTCCTTAGCACGACAGCATAGTGTAATGGACACGAGTCCTGTACTGAGAACAAAGCTCCGGTTATGGAAGCTGTACTTACGGGTTATATCCGGTCCGTTCGCGTTCTGGACTCAAGAGGCCGAAAGTTCCGGGTGAAGCACCCTGAGCAGTCGAAGCTACGGCGCTAGCCCCCGGGACTTCGGCGTCTGAGCCGGGAACGGACGGTATGTCTACATAGCCTACAGAGTTAACCCCATTACCACGCCAAGATGCAACTTGCAGAAATGTATTGAACTGCATTTTGCCTTTTGGAACTATAAATTCTGGCTCATCTGAAAAAACACATATGTGCATAGGGAAACTAATGGCACATACGTTGTTTTTAAACCGGGCCAGAATTTGTAGTTCCAAATTGCTGAATGCAGTCCAATTGGCCCAGCGTTTTTTAACAAGAACTACGAGACCATCTCGCGACACCAGTAAAAAAAGTGTATTGGGCTATCACGCAATTAAAGGCGCTTTCCTCGAAAATCTCTGTAATTGGAGGCCCGAGAGGAGATGTAACGGGAAGAGAGAGGATGAGGGGTTGGGTCTCGGATGAAATAGGATTAGCCCCTAGAAAATGTTTGCGTGCGGTAGGGGGTGCGGGGGGGGGGGGCACCTAAATTTTCATCGGCATGGCAAGTTAAACCCTAATCCGCGAAAACAAATATTGATTTCGCAGTTTTAAAAAGAAAAATCAACCGGAAAATTTTCGTCGGGAAGTTATGGAGGGTGACAGGTCGACAAGGGACGAAAGCCTCGTCGGCGACGGCGATGTCACAATGACAACAAAGCCGCAGCCGTGGAGCCTCGCCGGTACCAGACTGTGTCATCCACGCTATACGAGCTAAAGATGCCTTTTCAAAATAGTGCCTGATCCTCATCTGTTTGCACGGATCATAAAGCCTCAAAAACGGCGGAATAATGACGAATGTTTGAATAGAACAAAACAGCCGAGGAAAATATGGTGTCAACAATGAAAAAAACTTGTCCGAAATGTTTAGCCGAATGCAAAAGAGCTGGAAATTTCTTTTATTCCGTAAAGCTATTAGATGTAGTCAACAAAAAGGCTTTTAAACTCAAATCTACGATCTTCGGCTTTAAATCAAGCGAAGCCACGGAGCCGACGGGGAATGTGCCCAGTTTGATGTGAAAGAGAGTTTTGGCCTATCCGACAAAATGAAGGAGCATCACAATTCGCGACTAACTTTAGGTATACAAAGGTAAGGGAAGTAGCAAGACTTCAGCTTCAGATTAATATTTTCATCCCTGCAAATCAATTAAAGTTAAGATTTTAAAGTGAAACGTCGTGATCGGAATAGAACCAATGATCACTGAGCCCTGTATCATAGTAAATTTTCGGTTAGTTTTAAAAAAATTGAAATTTCTCCTGCAGATAAGTATGCAGGTATGGTTGAAGTGAGAACTTGAAAATCGGGCTTTTGAAGTGATTAAACGCGTGATATTATATGTTCACGATATGGTAGTCAACACAACAAAAAGGAGTTAACAACATTCATCTCGAAATGGTGCATTTCACTTAGGCTGGTAGTTCATGAGTCAAATTTTCAAATTTTGAAAAAAGAATTAAAAATTATTTTACTCTACTCAAATTTTCCCCACCGTTCATAGGCTGAATGATTATGCCCTCCGTGAATTTTGGTACTTTAAATTATTAAATTTTATTAACTTATTACATTCAATTAATAATTTTCGTACCTAAATCAAAAATTTCCCAAATTTACATGTTTTATGTTTACAAGTATCAGAAATATAATCTCATTTTACCAATGTATATTCAACAGTTGAATATTTTACAAGAAACGATGTTAAAGGTAAAATTAGAGGAAAAATATTTTTTTGTGGCGGCGACTGCTGTCGAGCGGAGAAAATTTAAGCCATCCGCAAAATATATAACCTCTCTTGAAAGCAATGTAAACAAGGCGGAATCTAACCTCAAAGAACTGTGGGTGAATATTTATTTCATGTATATTTGGTGGCTATTTTTCCTCATAAATAGATATTTACTTCTAATAATGTTTAAGAATGCATTTAAATTATAAATACCTCTGTAGTTTGTTATAATGATCTATTGTTGCCGGAAAAACTTGTAAATTTAGGTACACACAAGAATTTTGAATGACTGAAAATTTTTATACTTCGTTGTGGGTTACCATGGTGAAAAAACCCATCGGGAGTTTTAGGACATAGAGCGCTACCTTTCCTTGTTCTAGTGGCCAAAAAATGATAAAAAAGAAGAAGGAAAATATGTTTTAGTCGGCAGTATTTTATCTCGACTGATGTTAATAAGTCATTATAGGCAGAATGCATGGATCCATGGGTACCATTTTGGCGTCAAAAATTAAACCGCTTAGAAATTTGATTTTCTCTCAAATCTTCCAATCATCGCATCAAGCGCAGTATTGAAATAAGTTTTGGATACATCCTCGTCTTACCTTTCAACGCATAACAATTATTGCCTCTACTGAGTGAACGAGTTAGATATGTTTTGTCTTTTTTTAGGATCTGGGCTATTACTTAAAATCTTTGTGCCGGGTGTAATACGGGATTCTCCTATCGATACATCTTACATAAATTGAGGAATCAGGCTCTTGAGAAGACAGCAGATAGATATGTGAAAATCATAGTTTTACATTTATCCACCCAAAAATCCTACAATTGCATCATACCGTCAAGATTTCGAACTAACTATGTAGAAGTAACCCCCCGCGAATCTCATGGGCATTGATACAGTTGGAAATCGTTACTACGTCTAAAGACTTGGTGGGAATATCTCTGTTTTATCTTATCATGAAATCCTTGGTAATTTTCATGTTTCCTTGTCAAGTACATTTGCGCCCCTCCCCCATATTTGACGACTCACTGCTTCGCCGCTCAGATTTGCATATCAAAGATATTTGCTTAAATTAGGACGAGTGATATCATTGCGATAAGCGATAACTTTAACTTGACTTCAGGGATTGCAGCCTAGAGAGGGTTGCTTATGGGGTTTCGTAGACGCAGGATATTCTCCCTTCTGTTACTTTCAGAACTGCCGTTCTCCGACCAAAAATTACGCGCAAAACCCCTCGTGAGCGCGTAATTGTTTTTCAACAGCGCCTTCATGGTTCGGGATAGCCTAGATGCATCACGCGTGAAGAAGCAGTTCTCCGTTGCAAACGTGCATTGGATACAGGTCTCTTTTTTTGTTATTTAGAAATCACGCAAAACCATTTGCTAAAATTTTGGATGAGTTTAGCACTCGTCTATTATTTTCTTGATCTTTGCGTGGTATTTCATCATTAAATAAAAAGAATAACAAGGAACAATTTTTCGATCTTACATGTCTTTAAAAGACAGACAGAATAAAGTGATTCTCTTGATCAAAGCTCACTTATTCTCTTCTCTCCGAACAGTGTTCGAAACTCACCTTTGATTTTTAGGAGCCATGTGGCGCATCAAGCCCGATTTTTAGGCGCCATTGAAGATTTTTTTGGGGCCAAATTGACTTTTTGCCTATATATTACGGCGCATTTGGTGAAATGTTAGACGCAAGATGTTTTCGTAACAGAACTAGTAAGTAGCTGTAATTTAGGGAGGACAAAAGCACTAAGAATGAAATTGTGAAGAATAGAAGAAGCAAGCTTTCACTTGTAGTGCTGAAAATTCTGAGTTTTTTCAATTCAAATAGATTTCTTTTTCTTTCTTTATGTGACTCTCTGTGAAAATCCAGATTTTTAGGGGGCAGTTTTCAGGGGCCTTGTTGGCGCAGAGCCTTCATTTTTTAGGCGCCATGGCCGATTTTTTAGGCGCATTTGGCGCGTTGGCGCCTGTGAGTTTCGAACACTGTCTCCGAAAGTTTTGAATCGCCGCGTAGCGTCACAGAAAATCCTCTCGAGTCCAAACTGAATCGACAACGCAGCGAATATTTCTAGAATTTAATATTCGATAAAGTCGGAATCGTTAGCACGTTCCTTGCATGCGGACGTCCAGGGACAAGGGGTTGCGCTTGTTCAAGGAAAGTCGCAGTGGCCTTTTAAGGCGGCTATAATTGTCTCCCTGTTTGTCGCCACTCAAATCAATCAAATCGTGGAGAGTGTGGCCGACTACAGTTTCTTTTCTCGTCAAACGCTATGACACAGGCGTTTGACGACCCAAGTTTAATTGAATAACGGACACGAGCTTGAGCTTGGTTCCGTCGAGGTATGACAGGAATGTAATGTGTTTTCTGAGCATACAACCTGCATAAGAGAGCTGCTTCGTTCCTATTGCAGCGGGAGTGCCCAACAACCTGGCCAATTTTTCTCCCCGACATAAGTAGAGCGGAGCTGTTGCGGTGTCCGGGAGCGGACCACCGGACAGGATAAAAATCGGATCACAACTCCAAGGCATGATCTTTCGTAAAAACTTCATGTGCGAAATGTTGTCATTACAGTAGAGTCTCGATTATCCGCGATAATTGGGACCGGAGATACCGCGGATAATCGAAAATCGCAGATAGTCGAAAATCGCGAATAATCGAAGATCGCGGATAATCGAAAATCGCGGATAAACGAAAATCGCGGATAGTCGAAAATCGCGGATAATCCGAATCTACGCAAGACGGTCGGAAAAAGTCATCGGAAGGACAGTATTTTAAAGGAATCAGTAAAGGCACTTACCATGCATTAGAAAATAATATAATTATTAACTATAACTAAGAATCAATAAACGTTACCTGTTAAACAAATTAAACCTTATTTCTTGAAGAATTTCTTGATGGAAGATTGAGTCAAGGATTTGAACCTTTTTTCGGCTGCCGTTGTTTCCATGCGTTTTAGAAGCCGTAACTCGGCTGGTGTGGTTTCTCCCTGCTCTCCTGGTCGCTTTCAAAAGAGATAGAAACAGTAAAAAGAAAGTCCGCTCCACAGACCGCGGATAATCCGAACCGCGGATAACCGAGGCGCGGATAATCGAGACTCTACTGTATTGACAATACCCATGAAGCAAGTGAGAAAGGATCGTGTTCTATTTTATTCACACACTGAAAGAGAAGTGACGGGCTATATAAACATACCGTCTTCCAGGCTTAGAGGCCGAAATTTCCGGGTGCTGGAGCCGTAGCGTCGACTGTTCCGGGTGCTACGCCCGGAACTCTTGGTCTCTAAGCTCGGAACGCGGACGTTATGTCTATAGTTAGTACGGTTACCACGGCCGGAGTTTTTTTTTCAGTGCAAGAGAATCCGCAAATCAAAGAACGAGCAGACTAAAGTCAACAAGGGTCTAATCAGCAATTGCAAATATTTTTGACTGTTTAGTATAGGTCTACCTATAATAAAACGCTAATGCGAGGATATAACGAGATTTCTTTCCCGTGGGACGCCAAAAGTAATAGGAGGAAAACGCGATATTTTATGACAGAAGCAACCAAAAATTGGGGTATATGCGTACCTAATTTTCGAAAATTTTCCGAAGAAGGATCCCCGAATCCTCCTTCTTCTAAGGAGGAGGCAATCTTCTAGACACCCCCCCCCCCCATNATTAAGGAGCCCCCAAATCATGATCGTCACCTAACCTTTACGATAGCCAGCCCACCTCTGTTTTCGCTGTATATTTTATATGTGCGCGGTCTCAAAAGCGTTAGGTTATACGATCAACGTTAACGTGGTGTAGGCTGGTGACGGACACGATTAAAAAGAAACAATCACCTGTCGACTTATCGTCCACAGCTTTCATCACATTATATCGGTCAAATTTCGTCAACCTGTGGCTTTTTCAGGTATAATATCCACCGATCGAGCCGAAAGAGTCACCTGCTCCTCCTAACGGTGCTTTCTGTCACACAATATTGGGTCAATCTCATCGATTTCTGATTCTTCGAGGGACCACAGTCACCCTTTCATAGGTACGAGAATCCCACGATAGTCACTTATTTTCAAAAACGAATGATCATCTCGGTATTCTCATTTGAAAATCGCCTTTCTCACCGAAGAAAACAAATGGATGGATCCTCGGTTCAGTGGCAAAAAGGCTCCGGGCACGTCAGCGGCTATAATTGATACACCAAAGCCCATCGGTGAAACCGCTAGAGTACGCTTAATAGTATACGACATGAGTGTGTTCGATTAAGAGACACAGGACCCAGCGACAGATGAATCCGAGGATAAGGAGGCCTTGAGACTGGACCAAGTCTCCAGGCTAGACAGGTGACACAGAGAAACAGGTACCTCGCTCCCTGCCCCTTCCATCATTTTCACTGTTGGAGTGTAAAGGAGTGAGAAATATGGTTGCAGGTGCCGGAAATAGTAAAGTTCCACCGTGGAATAATCAGAAGGTTATTAGTTCAACGTACCCCCCCCCCTTTCACCGGTACGCACCTAATCTCATTTATGTGTCTCTTTCTCCGCTTATTCCCACCCGAATGTCTTTGAAAGACAACCAACGTTATTATAAGGGCCAGAGACTGGTGGATGTGGCCGATTCCAGCTTTAGCTCGCCAGAAGCAGGCTATTATTCACACGAGAAAATCGACGTCATAAAAACTTTTTGATCTTTCAGAAATGTCGAAAAATATTACCTCCTCGACAGGTTTTGCCGTAGAGTGTAAGTTCAATCCAGAAAAACTAAAGGGACTCAACAATATATTTTATTAGGTGGAAATTTCGACCTATAAATATTTCGGATCGGAGGAGCCTATGGTTTTTCACTCTTTTATTGGTCATATTATTGGAAACGCGTCCTTGATGACACGATTTTGATGTCACGGAGATATTTTGGCCCAAGCCAGCCTGACCCCTGACGGGACACTTATGAGAAAGCAGTGCCAACCCATTGGAGCAGCACAGCGGTCTCCTTAATTTAAAATTTTACTATTTTAACATTTAACTCATCACGAGTTAATAAGCCGACACATGCTTCGAAACCAAAATGAGATATATTTCAGAAATCCAAACTCATTTTGACTTTTTCCGACATTTATTACCCTCCGTTTCGCCTGAAGTTACCTCGCGTCAAAAGGACGCAACTTTATTTTCACACGAGCCCTGAAAAATATGGGTTTGTACGGACGATGGAACAAATCTTATGGTGTGGTTATACCTTACGCCAACGTAATTCCTATCCTGTACCTTACGCCAACGTAATTCCTATCCTATACCTTACGCCAACGTAATTCCTATCCTTGAAAGTTTTTCCTCCATATAAA